CAAGCACATCTTGGAACACCAGTACACCATCAGAACAATCTTAAAGCTTGTGTAATACACTATAATTCTCTTTAACTGCTTGAAAACTTGATTAGTGTTCTACTAATTACCAAGGAGGAAGACATTCAACTTAGAAAATGCCTTCAGATACACTCAACAGTGTGTCTAACAACTACAACCAGAACAATGGATTCTGCAGTTTAGTTGAACCTCTTGCCAGACAGTGCCTAGGGAATCAGTGTAACCTTACTTGCACCTTGCTTTTCTTCACTACTGTATAAGGTCTTCCTCCCTTACCAGGTGTATTTTGACCTGATAGCCACTTGATGATTACCGACTTTTTTTCTACTCCCAGAGCCCAGCTCTGAGCCAGGTTCCTCTGGTGCTTTATAACAATTCCCAGTCTGGTTCTCTGACATACAGTATATGTCAGGGGACTAGACTGTTTATAAAGGTTAAATGTGTTGGTATTTGAGATTTCTGAAAAGATGAAGAATAGTAAAGGTGTGACTAAATTTATAATTCAGCTTTTTTCTATATTTGATGCATTATACCTTTTGGAATTCTTATCCAAACAATACAGTTGCTTTCAAACATTGTATTGGGTTTAGAGCTTAGTTTGACTTCAGTATTATTATTATTATTAGTAGTATTAAACTATAGACTTTTGTAGAAAGAAAAATTTCTTAAAGAATTCCATATGCTAATGTAGACATCATACCAGCCAAGCAACTGTTACTTTCTGCAGTAAAATAAAAATATAAGGAAAGAATGAGGATTATCTTCACGAGTAAATAAAAAGGAAAAAGTACAAGAGAAGAAAAACAAAGAACAAATGTAAAACAAAAACTTGTCAGAAAAGTGTTAATACAATGTCAAAGTGAAGGAGAGAATATGGAACAGACACCTGAAGTATTAGAAATGAATTCGTGTAGCCAAAGAATCCTAAATTCATGGTAATGTTTCCATGGATGACAGTTTACATTGTTGTTAAACACACACACACACACACACACACACACTGCATAAATTATAGTAGCTAGAATATGGTGTGAATGACAAGTACATAAGGGAAAAAAAAAAAAGGACTTATGTATTACAACATTTCACCTATACCAGGCTTTATCAACTATATACTTGATAAAGTCTTTTGTAGGTTAAATGTCAATTAAAAAACAATCTCCTTTACCGTGTCTTTTTAATCATAAATTGCAGTTTTTGACGAGAAATCTCAGTTAGGGGAAAAGAAGTACCAGTAATTATAAGCAGTTAAATATATATATATATATATATATATTTTATTATTTTTTTTTTTCAACAAGTCGGCCGTCTCCCACCAAGGCAGGGTGACCCAAAAAGAAAGAAAATCCCCAAAAAGAAAATAATTTCATCATTCAACACTTTCACCTCACTCACACAATCACTGTTTTTGCAGAGGTGCCCAGAATACAACAGTTTAGAAGTATATATGTATAAAAAATACACAATATATGTGTATCCCTCCAAACTGCCAATATCCCAAACCCCTCCTTTAGAGCGCAGGCACTGTACTTCCCATTTCCAGGACTCAAGTCTGGTTATATAAAATAACTGGTTTCCCTGAATTCCTTCACTAAATATTACCCTGCTCACACTCCAACAGCTTGTCAGGTCCCAAATACCATTTGTCTCCATTCACTCCTATCTAACATGCTCACGCATGCTTGCTGGAAGTCCAAACCCCTCGCCCACAACACCTCCTTTACTCACTCCCTCCAACCTTTTCAAGGATGACCCCTACCCCGCCTTCCTTTCCCTACAGATTTATACACTCTCCAAGTCATTCTACTTTGATTCATTCTCTAAATGACCAAACCACCTCAACAACCCCTCTTCAGCCCTCTAATACTTTTATTAACTCCACACCTCCTCCTAATTTCCACACTCTGAATTCTCTGCATAATATTTACACCACACATTGCCCTTAGACAGGACATCTCCACTGCCTCCAGCTGCCTCCTTGCTGCAGCATTTGCAACCCAAGCTTCACTCCCATATAAAAGTGTTGGTACCACTGTACTTTCGTATAGTCCCTTCTTTGTCTCCATAAATAACGTTTTTTTGTATCCACAGGTACCTCAATGCACCACTCGCCTTTTTTTCCTTCATCAATTCTATGGTTAACCTCATCCTTCATAAACCCATCCACTGACAAGTCAACTCCCAAATATCTGAAAACATTTAATTCTTCCATACTCCCTCTCTCCAATGTGATATCCAATTTTTCTTTATCTAAATTGTTTGATACCCTCATCACCTTACTCTTATCTATGTTCACTTTCAACTTTCTACTTTTACAAACCCTCCCAAAATTGTCCACTAACCTTTGTAACTTTTCCTTAAAATCTCCCATAAGCACAGTATCATCAGCAAATAGTAACTGTCAACTCCTGTTTTGTATTTGATTCCCCATAATTTAATCCCACCCCTCTCTCCAACACCCTAGCATTTACTTCTCCTACAACCCCATCTGTAAATATATTAAACAACCATGGTGACATTATACATCCCTGTCTAAGACCTACTTTTTCTGGGAAGTGATATCCATCTCTCCTACACACCGTAATCTGAGCCTCGCTATCCTCATAAAAAAACTTTACAGCATTTAGTAACTTACCACGTATTCCATACATTTGCAACATCTGCCACATTGCTCCCCTATCCACTCTATCATGTGCCTTTTTTAAATCCATAAATGCTATGAAAACTTTCCTTCCTTTATCTAAATACTGTTCACATACATGCTTCAATGTAAATACTTGATCTACACATCCCCTACCCACTTTCAAATTTATTTTATTTAAATGTTAAAATCATAGTTATTTTTCATATTTATTTTTGAATTTCTTGCACCTTCACATATTCCACAACAAAAAATCATGCATGTATTGTGCCTAGCTTACATTAAAAAATGGAAGAGAGTGTATAAATCAATGCATAATAGGTTATAATGGAAGTCCCATATTCCCAAATTTCAACAGGGAACAGCTCTACCCACATAAAGCAAATGAAGTAAAGGATTTACTTTTATGGTGCTTTGGGAATGGCAAAGTAAGTTTCAGGATGGCCAAGCTAAATGAACAGCCAAACTTCTAAGCACCAGGATACTAGAACAATACACACAGCAATGTTATTTCTTGTGTTCATTTGCATATCATCTTTGTAAGAGATTTACATAGCCATGTAGACATTTTTATACTATATAAAAAGGCATGGGAAAAATCACCAACTTTATTCATCATACCATATTTTATATACAAACACTGAATCCTCAGGTATAAGGATATTTAATTTGGATGCAGCTGTACATTCACCTGTATATAATATGAACTATTATCCTTGTTGAACAGCCGCCTTTGAATTACTTGCAGAAATCTAGATTCAGAACTCTAAAGAAGTGTTTATTCTTGCACTGAAAACTTTGATGCTAGTTTTCATACTAGTCTTTTCTTATTATTAACACATCTTTAGGATTGTATTTGCTAGCAACCAGTTGTAATGTGGACAACATTTAGCCACTCTCCCCTGTCCCTCCATAGAAGGGGTAATCAGCAGAGAATGGCATGCCAAAAAGTGCTCTGGGAGCCACTAGTGCCACACCACAACACTGTCAGGAATACTACTTGCTTTGTTGTCATACATCACCAGCTGGTATTAACAATGGAGACTGTACTTAATTTCTATTGTACAGTTCAATAAAATGCTACATCCTACAGCGTATAAAAAATGGCATCAAAAAAGAACTAAGAAATGTGAATGAATATGAACAAACTAAGTACAGTACAATTAAATAATTTTGAAAATCTACATTAAATATTTCAATACATTTTTTCCAAATAATCAACAAGACAGTACATATCATGATTTGATTTGAATTTAACAAATTTCAGTTGACTTTTATTTGAAAACAGATTTTCATCATTCAGTAAATTGTTGCTTGCAACAAACTATAATTAAGAGATCCAAATCTCCCTTATAAAAAATAAAAGTGCATGAAAAGCACTAGAAACCTCAAAGAATTCCTTACAGCTTCCAAAAAATGTGGAATTTTATTTAATACATAATTACACAAATAAATTAAATCATATATAATTAATCTTTAATTAATATTGTCATTATATTCTAGAATCCGTAGACCAAACTGGGCCCCAGTGATACAGCACATTCATTAACAAACTTCCATAACAACTCTCACATTATTGTCAGTAGATATAAACAGTAATAAGAAGATGAAAGAGGCAGCCTAACTGGCTTCCCTGTTATATGGCACAAGTCAGTAATTTGATTAAAACATTTGCTGAACAAACCTTTTCATACAGAACAATTGTTCTATAATTTATGTGACATGAACTTGAGCTCACTTCCAACACTAAGGTTGAGAGTTGAGTATGACAAGATTATAAATATCTTATATTTGAAGTATCTATGTACTTCCCTTAAGTATAAAACTCAAAGAAATTTTTTTAAATTTTGAGTAAAACTTATTTATAGTACTGTATTAATTTGTTAATTTTTTACAGGTTCCTACCTCAGCCATATTTGTAACTCTCGAATTAAAAACAAATAGAATTTTCAAATACCATCTCAACAATTAACTTCTCTCCACACTATTCATTAAATCATTTATCAGACTAATAACTAGTGGAATCTTTTAAAGATAAGAAGAGAGATCAAGTATGGTAATCATGGTAATATCTGCACCAACCATGACACCTTTGTATTTGACTTTCTTTGCATCCCTTCCATCACCATTATGTGTAACTTAACCATGTCATCATTTCTTAACAAGGGTCTCGTCTTTAAAAACCATACATCAATATTATCAACTCTTCTGTCACCTTTCTAATAGTGTACTTATCTCCTCCACCATCTACAGTAACACCATTCCATTGTCAATTTCCTCCACCATAAATCTGCATGCATGACTCTGGCCACTCAACCTATGACGAAAAAGTACTTACACATTCTTGGTTTGTTCCTTCTGGTATGCAATTGGGGACTGAATAGCCTTGAGGAAGTCCTTTTGAGTTTGAAGAAGGTGTTTAATCTGTGACACCCACTGGTTTTTGTCATCTTCAGATGCTCCTTGGCATACAAAAGCCAGGTTGGGTTTCCTAGGATCAGCTGACTTCAACAGGAATGTGAAGGGGTCCCCATCCTCAACTTTCTCTTCTAAATTCATTTTGTTGACCTACAAATAAGAAAACTTTGTTTAAATGATAATCTAATACTGTACTGCAATGTTCTAGGAAAGGATGGAGGGAAGGGGGGGGGGGTAAAGGAGGTTTTGTGTGCAAGGAGCTTGGACATATAGTAGGCATGTGTGAGCATGTTAGATAGGAGTGGAGACAAATGGCTTTTGGGGCTTGACAAGCTGTTGGAGTGTGAGCATGATAATGTTTTTGTGAAGGGATTAAGGGAAACTGGTTAACCAGACATGAGTGTTGGAGGTGGGAAGTACAATGCCTGCATTCTAAAGAAGGGGTCTGGGATATTTGTTGTTTAGAGGAACATCTAAATTGTCATATCTGCATGCCTCTGGCAAGACAGTGATAGTGTCAATGATAATGAAAGTGTTTCTTTTTCAGGTAACCCTACCTCAGTGGGAGACGGCCAGCATGTTATGAAAAAAAAAAAAGTGTGTACAGTGTAGCAACTTACACAATAATACAGTATTGTACTAAAACAAAATATCTCTTAGTATTAACATCATTCTTTAAATATTTGACTTATTATCATATGCATGGAAAGTGCTAAATCAATAAGGGTCATACAGCTCTGATAAATACTTGACCAAATAAAGTTGAATAAGTGCCAATGTACTGAATTTCTATACACATTTAAAGCAGTCTTATATACACTTGTAGATATTCTGATGCTTATTATTATTATTATTATTATTATTATTATTCTTTCAACAAATCGGCCATATCCCACCGAAGCAGGGTGGCCCAAAAAGAAAAATGAAAGTTTCTCTTTTTAACTTTAATAATATATACAGGAGAAGAGGTTACTAGCCTCTTGCTCTCAGCATTTTAGTCGCCTCTTACAACATGCATGGCTTATGGAGGAAGAATTCTGTTCCACTTTCCCATGGAGATAGGAGAAAATAAACAAGAACAAGAACTAGTAAGTAAAATAGAAAACCCAGAGGGGTGTGTATATATATGCTTGTGAAGAAATTAAGACACATGTGCAACATCTGGGTATCTTTATTGTAGACATTTCGCCATCCAGTGGCTTTATCAATACAAAACGTCTACAATAAAGATACCCAGATGTTGCACATGTGTCTTAATTTCATCTTGTCGGTATTATATACCATTCTTGCACATATATGCTTGTACATGCATGTGTAGTGTTACCTAAGCATAAGTAGAAGTAGCATGACATACCTGAAACTTTGGATGTTTATGAGACAGAAAAAACACACCAGCAATCCTCGCATCATGTAAAACAATTACAGGCTTCCGTTTAACACTCGCTTGGCAGGACGGTAGTACCTCCCTGGGTGCTTGTTGTCTACGAACCTACCATGTACAATTCTTCTTTCTTCTTTCAACGTACCAGCTGTATCCCACTGAGGTGGGGTGGCCCAAAAGGAAAAACAAAAGTTTCTCCTTTTAAATTTAGTAATATATACAGGAGAAGTGGTTACTAGCCCCTTGCTCCCGGCATTTTAGTTGCCTCTTACAACACGCATGGCTTATGGAGGAAGAATTCTGTTCCACTTTCCCACGGAGATAGGAGGAAATAAACAAGGACAAGAACTAGTAAGTAAAATAGAAGATAACCCAGAGGAGTGTGTATATATATGCTTGTACATGCATGTGTAGTGTGACCTAAGCATAAGTAGAAGTAGCAAGACATATCTGAAACCTTGGATGTTTGAGACAGAAAAAACACACCACCAATCCTCGCATCATGTAAAACAATTACAGGCTTCCATTTAACACTCGCTTGGCAGGACGGTAGTACCTCCCTTGGTGGTTGTTGTCTACGAACCTACTATGTACAATTCTTCTTCTTCTTTCAACAAACCAGCCGTATCCCACCGAAGCAGGGTGGCCCAAAAAGAAAAACGAAAGTTTATCTTTTTAAATTTAGTAACTTATACAAGAGAAGGGGTTACTAGCCCCTTGCCCCCAGCATTTTAGTCGCCTCTTACAACACACATGGCTTACGGAGGAAGAATTCTGTTCCACTTCCCCATGGAAATAAGAGGAAATAAACAAGAACAAGAACTAGAAAGAAAAGAGGGGTGTGTGTATATATATGCTTGTACATGTATGTGTAGTGTGACCTAAGTGTAAGTAGAAGTAGCAAGATGTACCTGAAATCTTGCATGTTTATGAGAAAAAAGATACCAGCAATCCTACCATCATGGAAAACAATTACAGGCTTTCGTTTTACACTCACTTGGCAGGATGGTAGTACCTCCCTGGGTGGTTGCTGTCTACCAACCTACTACCTGTACTATGTACAATTATCATTACATAATTATTACATTCATGAAGAGTACTAAGCTCACAGGGGTCATACAGTGCCAGGGGAAATAAGAGGCAATTAGATTTGGTGCAAGGAAAGAGAAGGATCAAGAACCCTTTACTAGCATAAAAGCACTTCTCTTGAAGGGACATGCATCATCATGCTGGCCATGATGATGATAAAATCATAAATACTGTATAATAAATCTTCTTTCAACATACCAGCCATATCCCACTGAGGTGGGTTGGCCCAAAAGAAAAAACTAAAGTTTCTCCTTTTAAATTTAGTAATATATACAGGAGAAGGGGTTACTAGCCCCTTGCTCCCGGCATTTTAGTCGCCTCTTACGACACGCATGGTTTACAGAGGAAGAATTCTGTTCCACTTCCCCATGGAGATAAGAGGAAATAAACAAGAACAAGAACTAGAAAGAAAATAGAAGAAAACCCAGAGGAGTGAGTATATATATATATGCTTGTACACGTATGTGTAGTGTGACCTAAGTGTAAGTAGAAGTAGCAAGACGTACCTGTAATCTTGCATATTTATGAGACAGACAAAAGACACCAGCAATCCTAGCATCATGTAAAACAATTACAGGCTTTCGTTTTACTCGCTTGGCAGGACGGTAGTATCTCCCTGGGCGGCTGCTGTCTACCAACCTACTACCTACATGTATAATAAATATAATGGCAATAATTGTTGAGGCAGCAAACAGGGCCAGGGCCAAGCTCTTTATCCTAGGAGATTTTGCCAATTAAAAAATGTCTTGGAGAATAGGGACTCAGAGGAGCCCAGAGCAGCCAATTCTCATAAGAGACGTTGGTTTTTGGCTGAAAACCGGTGGCAGAGCAACATTGACACTAAACTGCAAATTTGACTACATGACAGTGTATTTTTACAGTCTGTTCAGTGGGTCCCAATCTTCTGTTTGCACTTCAAAAACTTATATGACCTTTATATACGTACTATTCCATGACTCGTGAAATCGTAATAACATGACTGCAAACAAATCACAGAATGGGTGAGGCTCAACCCCATGGCTGTGATGTCCTAAAACTCCCAGGCCAGTGTGTTAACCACTTGTGGCCCAGATCTACTAGCCAAATTTCACATACTTAATTTCTTTTTAGAGTTACAGGGTGTATTATCAAGGGAATGCTGCAATTTTCCAATGGTGTTAAGCCAAAGGTGGGTTATTTAGGGTCACAGTATGAGGGGGTTTACTGTATGTATATTTACCCAAGGTGGGCTTCATGGTTTATTAATTTCCCTCAAAGTGCCTCTAAAAAACAGTGTCAGTACTGACTATATTTCATTGAACTTTTATATATAAAATATAAGTTCTTGCTGTTTTCTGCTTTACTATTAGCTAAGCATTATTAAATGATAAAAAAATTATTATAACTAACCTGTAAATGACTCTTGTACGCATAAACTGGATTAGAAAATTGGTTCTTCTTCCGACCACTCTCGGAAAAGATTATGGATTGCTCAAACAAAAACACCATCAAATCCTTCCCTCTGAAATTGTGAGCAGACAGTCCTTCACAACACATCAATGGACCATACAGGAGTAGTTTGCCTTGAGCCATGATCTTGCCCTGAAGACAGAAAGTTACAAAAAATTATTGTAAATAAACAAATGCAATTAAAATTTCACTTTAAGTAATTTTTAAAGTTTACAGTAGTATTTTTAATCTCACAAGTATACTGTAACTCAGTCAGTTTCATAATTTTAAAATTTTTAACATTGTGACATATTAAATAAATGTGTGCTTTTTTATGAATGTTTAACTCCTATAGTCATATTACTTACATCAAATCCTTGTAACCGTCCAACATTCATCATGTCGTTAGCAGCTTTTGGGACAACAATCATGATGTTGAGTGCTCTCTTGATGCTTTCCGCTTCTTGTTGTAATCCAGCTCTTTCTGTGTGTTTGTGAATATCTCTCAAGAGCAGCTGGTATTTCATCAGTCTCTGCACTGGCTTGATTAGCAAATCTGGTAACTGAAGTTTGTGACCTAATTTTTGTCTCAGTTCCTGAAGAGGGATAAATATTATTTGGCTATGAGCTGATTAATAACTACACACACACACATGAATATGTATTTTTATAATGGAAATTATTTATAACTGTGGTCTATCTTTTATTTATAAAAATGATAACTGTTAAAATTGGTACCGTGAAGTATCTTCAATAAGCAAAACTAACAAAATAAACAACATAATTTGTATTCTGCAAATACAGTACATTGTAGTACTAATTAAATTATATTTTCTGTTGGAATGTTTCACTGGTATTTCAACAATGGGTTGGGTTATATAATATCGCATTCATGGAGAAGCCCAAAACTTGTAGGAGTCATACCAAATTTCACTGTTGTCAAAGTCATTATGAAGGCTTCCTCGGCAACTTCATGTTTTTTTTTTTGTATAGTCTTTGAAGAATAATCACCCTTTCTTAACCCCACTAACCCCTGCCTTTCACTCCCTCATCACCTTTGCACATTCCTCCTTGCTTACAGCCCTGCCTGCAGTGCTAGATGATCGTTTTGGGTTTAGAGCTTCAGTTGATTATATTTTTTATAAAGAATGATACAAAGCTGTAGCTAGTGTTTTGTCTGCCATGAGGATGAGAAACCATAAAGGTACCATGATCATGCTGTGGAGTACAGAACTTTAGACTTTTCTAAGATTAAATTTAATTAAAACTCTCTCCATTACCAAGGAGAGCATAATACTGTGCTTCCTACTACAAGGTGACAAGGACTGTATTAAAATCTCTATGCAGTAGGAGGCAAGTGATCCAAAGTACCCAACAAGACCAACTTTCCCTCTACATTCACGTGATCATTGTTTGAAATGCAGACATTACTCGGGAACCCCTTAAAAATATTATAGTTTAGCATACATTAACTGTAGTAAAAGTTAAAAGGAATCTTTGCTCACGAAGCCTGGTCTGAGAGTAAAACTCCTAGATGATGGCCTGGTCAGGGAGGCTGCTGGTATTCTCAAGAAGCTGTCTGATATAGCCACAGCCTGATAACAAAGATCAGGGAAAGGACCAAACTAGTCCAATATCTGAAGGGTACTCTGGAAATCTGAATGTATCACTGCAACAAGATTTACAATGGTTGCAATGTACTGAAGTGTGGCAAACATGTTGTGGTACTTGGCCATAACCACCAACACTTATAGCATAGTCATAAGCCCAACCCCAGCTGATAATACCGATGGCCAGGAGTTGGCCAAGATTCGACTGATGCTCAATAGTTCCTTATGCACATCTAGTACACACAGTTTGGTAAAGCGAGCCAAGAACCTACAGAAAGAGATCAGAGGTACTGTATGATCCATTGTCAAGGGATGTAAAAAATAAATAATTGGACAATAAAGAAAAGGAACATGAAAACACTGCACTGTACACAAGTCATATAGACCAGTTTCGTGAGATAAATCACTGCCCCTGTCAACCATAACAAAGTCAGATACTGACAAGATTGTGTCACATATCCTCTCAACTATAAACTGCTGCACTTTACCATAGTCCCAGTTGGGGTAGGAGATTGATAGTTACAGTACACAAATTCACGGGATGACTGAAAAGTGGTAATTTTTGCCATCATCAACTGGGTCCCATGTGAAGTTTACCAGTACTTCAAATGAACCATTTCATAAAGTGAGACCCATGGAAGTCCCATTTGGATCTGAAATTATTAAGATCAGAGGTGATCTAGTACAGTGTATTTGGTTACTACATTCTCCTAAAGGAGGTGACTGATACTTAGATTCCTCAGGAGAAAAGGCTGCAGAAACTTAGACCTGGGACAGGAAAGGTCCTCGCATGAAAATGGCTAGTGGGACACAACTTGGTCCAGGAAAGTCAAGTATAGATGCATTTGTTACCCACTGCATAAAGTTGTATACAGTATTAGTGCCATCAAATAATATAGAAATGTAGATAATTTTGGCAATGGAACTTGCCAGATCCTTAGAACACCAATTTTGGAAAATGTAATGAAACAAGTAATGAAATTTGAACATGTAGAAAGGATGGAATGAAATAGAATGACTTCAAGAGTATACAAATCTGTAGTGGAGGGAAGGCAGGGTAGCGGTTGGCCTAGGAAAAGTTGGAGGGAGGGGGTAAAGGAGGTTTTGTGTGTGAGGGACTTGGACTTCCAGCAAGAGTGCATGAGCATGTTAGACAGGAGCGAATGGAGACAAATGGTTTTTAGGACTTGGCATGCTGTTGGAGTATAAGGAAGGTAACATTTATGAAAGGATTCAGGGAAACTAGCAGGCCAGACTTGAGTCCTAGAGATGGGAAGTACAGTATCTGCACTCTGAAGCAGGGGTGTTAATGTTGCAGTTTTATAATTGTAGTATAGGCATGCCTCTGGCAAGACAGTGATGGAGTGAATGATGAAAGTTTTTCTTTTTCGAGCCACCCTGCCTTGGTGGGAAACGGCCGATGTGTTAATAAAAAAAAAATAGGTAATGAAATGACTCGCTTCACAACAGTTTGCTTTACATGCCTATATCTCGCATACTAGTTAAGTTTCCCTACTGGATGAGAATAACATGTCAGCATCACATACCTCAAAATAATTAGAGTACTCTGATACAATGTACTCGGAGGTAGGCTTATTTTGACAGTATTTGATATATATCTGAAGCCGCTTCTCACTTCGCTGGAAAACTCCTCCAATTTCTTCAGGATGATCTAAGCATCGTTCTATATTCTTCATGAAGAAGCTGCAAATGAATTGTATACATTATAATTAACAGATCATTTGACAAAAAAAAAAAAGATAATACAAAAAAATCAACAATAACACATTGTATATTCCTGCTACAGAACAGGTGTAATGCATCCTCCAATTATAATCAACACTGCAGTGCTTAACAATAAGTTTCCCCATACTTGAATTATTGGAATCACTAATTATCAAAGTGCACATCCAGGCCAGAGTATAGTAGCTGTTTTCTTAGTGGTGAGGCATTTATATATCTGCTTCCTCCCAATGAAAAATTGGGATTTAAATGGAAAAAAAAAAAAAAAAAGAGATAATGTCACTACTGTATATACATTATGCTTCAGTATGGTTATCACTCACTGTCACAACAACTGCCAAAATTATAAGTGCTGACAGTTCCTTGATTTAAAAAATACATTAATTTTATCTGAAATTGTAGAAAATCTTTTTCTGAAAACGACACCAAAAATGCAAAATTGATGGAAAACTGACACAGTTGCAAATTCGGCAATCTGGGAGCAATTTAAGCATTGGTAATTTAGCCCAGTTTGTCTTTTTTTTTTTTTTTTTTTTTTTTTTAGCCAATTTCATTGCTCAGTTTGACACAATTCTTAGCTGCCGATTTAACTATCAGACCTACCCTATAACGTACACAAGTTAGTAATATGGCCAATTTTACACAAAATTAAAAATATTCCAATTTAAAAACAAGGTTCACAATAAACACTGTAGGCATTCCAGCCAATACAACAACATTTCCTCCATTAATTAATCACATCCTCAGGTCTCCCCTACATAACACTTGCCCCCCATTTTGAATCCACATAAAAACGGAAGTTTTACTCTATTTCTCAGATAATAAAATATAACCAAGAATGATTAGTCATGATTTAGGTTGTCCAATAAAATCTAATATTTCTGCCACTTGGAGCTCTATTTCAAGCTACTTCTGGTCTGAAACCAAGCAAAATGGGCTTATGCACCAACCTTCGTCGGGTGTGGACGTCTCGTTCTCACCTAAGTATCAGTGATAAATTTTCCCCACTCTCTCTGGGACTCTTGTCCTCGTCTACTTTGCCTGCCAGGCACATTACAGGAGGGGCATCTATCATTGGCTTACTTTTAGCCAGCTCCATTTTTTTCCATTCTGCGGATAATTCTTCAATGGTTTTTGGGAAGCCGGTTACTGAACTGAGGTGAGAGTGTGGGTGTCCTGCTCTGTTGGGGCGTCCACCTGATCTAACTGGGAATTTCTAGTTACTGTTTCTATTTACAAAGGAACTCTTGTTCCTTATTCTTTCATCATCCAACTTTGGGCAACAAATCTTCCCCATACATCAGGAAGTTGGGCTCTATATGGTATGAGCTGTCAGTGGCCCTGATAAACCCAACAAACAAAAACCAAGCAAAATCATCACTGCTCGAGTAATATGTCTTCCATTCTGTTAACTGATACCAAGAAACAGCCAGTAAAACAAAAGCCAACCTAGAACACATTTCAAGTTGCTATTTTAAACCATCATGCAATGGGTGGGACACACCAAAAACTTGTTCTCTCATGTCTAGGACAAAGTTAACCACTTGTAGCATATTTGAGGGAGCTGTGCTTAACCCTTTCAGGGTCCGTCCCGTAGATCTACGGCTTCACGTTGTGTCCAAACCGTAGATCTACGCCAAAATTCTAGCGCCGTCAAATTTAGCACGAAAGCGCTCATAGGCCTACATGTGAGAGAACGGGTCAGCGTGGTGGGTGTGCGCCCTAAACAAAAAATCTAGGCGCCCGCATAGCATTGTGGGAACGCCGGCTCAGTTACCCTTGTTCACCATGCCTCGTCGCAAGTCAGCTCTCACTCCCCGGAAAATTGGGACTCTCCTCTTCCTATCTGATAGTTCTGACACTGATGGAAGTGGAAATGAAGACGAATTCTATGGCTTTGATCAGTTAGTGACCGAAAGGAATTACCTGGAGTTTACCTGGAGAGAGTTCCGGGGGTCAACGCCCCCGCGGCCCGGTCTGTGACCAGGCCTCCTTAGGTCAGTGTCCCAGGATGCGACCCACACCAGTCGACTAACACCCAGGTACCCATTTTACTGATGGGGAACATAGACAACAGGTTGAAAGAAACACGTCCAATGTTTCTACTCTGGCTGGGAATCGAACCCAGGCCCTCGCCGTGTGAAGCGAGAGCGTTAACCACCAGGCCACCAGAGCCTGTAAATGACCAGGATATCGATAATAGTGCAGAAAGCCCTGACGATCCTCAACCTTCTACCTCTGGTGTGGGCACTCGTGACTCGCGGTCGGTTGTGCCTCAACGCAAGAGAAAACTAATATTTTTGCGTGGCCAGGCCTCTGACTTCAGTAATGATGATGATAGTGACGTGGATTGTGATTTTATTGCGCTTGACGATCATTCGAGTAGTGATATTCACCAGTGAAGTGCCGGTATGTTCGCCGCCGCATGCGTTCGGGTAGTGTACCCTATGCTGTGCCCAGGGGACGGAGTACATCCCGTGGCCCTACACCAGGTTTAGATAGTGATAGTGAGGATGTGGCTACACTTGGCATGGATAGACCACAGGCATCAGTAGATGGTGGTAGTGGTGATGGTAGTGGCACCGCCATGCGTGACTCGCCAGCCCAGGCTGGGACCCACACTGCTGACTCGTCAGTTCAAGGACAAAGTGGAGAGTCAGCCACCAGCCCACCACAACCACAACCACCCACACAACCAGCCTATGATGTCCAGTATCCACCAGCAAACCATATCTGGGATTGGCAGCAAAATCCCAATTTTGTTCCCAAGCCCCATCACTTTGATGACTCTCAAAGTGGAATTCTACCTACTTGTCCCCTTGGAACCATGGCCAATGAACTGGAATTCTTTGAATTAATCTTTGACCAGCCATTGATGGAAACTATTGTCAGGGAAAGTAATAAGTATTTTGAGTACACCATGGCAAATACGATCATATCACCACAGTCAAGACTACACAGGTGGAAAGAGACGACTGTTGCAGAAATGTATTTGCTTTTTGCAACAATAATGCTTATGCCTCATGTCTATAAGCATAATATAAAAGCATACTGGTCCACAGATCGGCTAATTTCTACCCCGGTCTTCAGTGAAATCATCCTGACAAAACCAGGCCTGACAGAAGTGACAGGTTATACAAGATTAGAAATGTTTTCATGTATCTCAAACAAAAGTTCAGCATATACTTTTATCCATTCAAGAATCTTGTAATTGACGAGTCTTTGATTTTGTTCAAAGGTAGACTGTCATTCAAGCAGTATATACCGAGCAAGAGGAAACGCTTTGGTATAAAACTGTTTGTACTCTGTGACTGTGACAGTGGCCTGGTGTTGGATATTGTTGTATACACGGGAAGTAAAACATTGAAAGATACCAAGATGTTATTGGGTATCTCAGGTGACGTAGTGAGAAACATGATGGCACCTTATCTTGGTAAGGGGCATACATTATATACCGATAACTGGTACACAAGCCCATTACTCAGTGATTTCATGCGAGTGAATAAAACAGATGTGTGTGGCACAGTGCATTCTAATCGTAAACATATGCCCAGGCTCAACGCAGGTGCTCGTGGTGATGATGTGCAGGTGTTTACTGCCAATGACATCATGCCATTACGTGGTGGCATGACAAACGAGATGTACATTGTTGACAACCATTCACCGTAATGAAATGCAAGACCAGTGGCAAAGTTTTATCGAGTGACTAATGAACGTATTCGAAAACCAGTGACAGTGATTGATTATACACAAAACATACGCTTGGTTGACAAATGTGACATGCAGATTGGTTTTGTTGATTGTGTTCGTAAGAGTTACAAGTGGTACATGAAACTTTTCTTCCATCTCATGGACATTTCAATGCTCAATGCATATAATATGTACCAAATGAAGACTGGCAACAGACCACCGTATGGTGAATTTTGTTTGTCTGTTGTCAAACAACTCGTAATGAAGTACCAGGTAAGAACACCTGCTATACAACAAGGTCCTCGAATTACTCAGGATATACCCAAGCGTTTGAGGAGGGAAGGTGATCATTTCATAATACAGCTTCCTTCAACTCAGGAGAAATTTGCTCAGAGAGATGCATCGTCTGTGCACAAACAAAACGACGGCAACAAAGATGCAAAGACACTCGGTTTATGTGTGAGGAATGTAAGATACCTCTGTGCATGGTGCCTTGTTTCAAGGAGTTCCACAAGCTCCAGCAGTTCTAAAACCATGTCCAGTGATTGTAAATATGTAAATATATGATAGAACATTAGTATTATACAAGATTTGTGCATGTTTATTGTAAGAAACAACAGTGGTAAACAACAATATGATAATAACTTTAGTGCGGTTATTGTGTTCAATACAGTGAGTTTATATATATACATTATATACAGTATTGGTCTCTCAGGCCCCAAATGTTAGTAGGTAAAGAAAAAATTGGAAAAGAAAAGAAAAAACTAAAAAAAACGCTAAATAAAGTAATGCGCGTATGTGGAATTTGTCGATGTTGCCGCCACCACATCATTTTGGACAAACTTCTTGGCACTGTATCTCGGTAAATACTGATCAGAATTTTTTTTTTTGTCTTATTACCTTCACAAAAATATGCTCTTTAATTCTGTAAGAAAAAAATTTTTTTTTTGTTTTTTTCAAAATTTCTTGGACACTGGAGCACCACTTCAGATTTTGGCCTTGGACCCTGAAGGGGTTAAAACATCAATCTATGTGAGTGACACTGGTGCCAATGACTTAATCTACATATGAGAGTGAAAAGGGTTAAATATGAATTTTCTGATAAATCAGGATGACTGATGTAGCAATGTTTACATACCTCTGTCCCTCCTTCCCTGTACAGGTGCCTGTACAGGAATGCCTTAGCTATATGTGTACAGCTATTCTCTAATGTACTTTTTTTTTTTTTTTTAACCTTGCTGGCCATTGCCTCCCAAGGTAGGGTGACTCAAAAAAGGAAATGCATTCACCATCATTCATTCAATCAGTGTCTTGCCAGAACCGCACTGACACTACAATTCAGAAGACCATCTGACTGCAACAGTCCTTCTCCTTCAGAGTGCAGACACTGACCTTCCAATATCCAGGATTAGTCCAGTTAACTGATTTCCCTGAATCCCTTCATACATATTACTTCAATGACATAGGTATCTTTATAGGAAGGCATGTTGCCAACCCGTGGATTTTTCCATTTCAGTACAAAAATAACATACAAAGTAGAAAATGAAGTGATTAGTCTCTCAGCCTTGCAGAACTATACACCAGACATTAGAAGCTGGTGTTCAGTACTTTCAAACTGAGGGAGTGATTACCTCATCTTTCACTGTCTTCTGCATATAGATCTGCAAGGCTAAGAGACTGATTACCTCATTTTCTATTGTCTTCAAATATCACATTTGTCTTGAATTAAAAAAGCCAGTGGTTGGTGAAATGTATTCTGGTAAAAATGCCCAGGTGTTGCATGCATCTAATTCCTCATCATCTTATGAATATTGTATACCATTATTGTAATAAAATCTTCATCACACTTCAACAGAATGTCCATTAAAAACCACTTGTCTCCATAAATTTGCATCTATCCCACTTGCACAACCCTGTTGGATCCTCAAACTCCAGAAATTATCACTTAATAGTACCTGTGATGCACACTTTTTTAAACTGCAGTGGAACCTCAAATTTCGAACTTAATCTGTTCCAGGAGTTAGTTCTAAATTCGAAAAGTTTGAAAAGCGAAGCAATATTTCCCATAAGAAATAATGGAAATACAATTAATCTGTCCCAGAAACTCAAAAATATTCACAAAAAAAAAATACATTTTATGGAGATTAATTATAGTTTTACATACACACAACAAATATAGTGTACAATTATGTATTAATAAATTTAAATAAACATATAAAATAACATTTTTACTTACCTTTATTGAAGATTGGTGATGGCATCTGGAAGAGAGGGAGGAGGAGAGAGGGAGTTGGGGTTAGTGTTTGGAAGGGGAATCCCCCTCCATAAGGACTTTAGGTATCAAAGCCCTGGGTTACTTCCCTAATGTCTTTTAATGCCACTAGGACCACCTTGAGTCACTGGACCCCTGTCTCACAAAATAACTGTAGACAGTCCTCTGTTTCTGGCACCTCTAAGATTTCCCTAAAATGGGACATGGTTTTGTCACTGAACTTGTTGCAACGATGGCTTGTTTCAGCTTGCTCAGGGTGGTACTTCTCCACAAACATTTGGACATCATTCCACTTGGCACAAATCTCCTTAATCTTTGAAGAAGGCAGACAGGTCCGGTACCCGGCAGTTCGAAAATAGGGGCTAGTTCGATAATAGAGACAAAGTTGGTTCTAAAAAAGTGGTCGATTTTCAAAGAGTTCGATAAGCAATACGTTCGAAGTTTGAGGTTCCACTGTATTTATATTGCTGTTCTTACCATGCAGTAATAGATTTTAGTGAAATATTGTAACAGAATATTCAATCTGATGCAGTATATTGTGCAAAAAAGCATTGTACCACAGATTATTTTATTTAATTAAAAACTTTTAACAAATGAAATGCAGTACATTCACAAAAGCATATGGTAGTCAGGCACTATATGTAGTAGACCTACAGGGTTGGTATGCTTTAGTGAGTAAAATCAGCCCAAGGATTCAGTTGGTCTCTGAGTGATCACAACCCTTCAACTTAACAATGGCAGTGATGATAGCTGGTCTGGGTTCTAAAGAGTAGAAAATCTCTTGGAACTCATCAAAGGTACATCATAAAATGGGGGTATTATTCTGGACACATTTATTTAGTAATAAACTTTGCCTTGTGTCTGATAATTGGTAATTGGAACAAGATTATTATGAAACTTACTCTCTGTGCCACTCATATATAGCTTCCAAATTTCCAAATACCATTTTGTCTTTCCCATCTTTTAGGTCTTCAGGCATTTTCACCTCTGAATCTGGATTCCGCATCTCTGTGATATAACCTTCAACAACATCTGCGAGGTCTCGGACATAAAGACGTTCAGTTTCTACTAATTCAGCAATAACAAATTGTCGTTTGTGAAGTTCTCGCTGTTCCCTTGTCATATCACAATCACCTGTAAATAAATATACCATGATTAAAGTTGGGCCAAGTGAATAACAAAATTACTTTCCCATATTTCATTTTTTATGCAGAAATTTTAATGCAGTAAACCCTATAACACTTTTAAAATTATAGGTAAAATGCACTGGCTAAATTATACTTTTAACTTCTTTATTTTCAATTTTTATTGCAGTACGTATATCTGTAAATTTGTTTGCACACTACAATATTAGGTGCACTTGGGTAGCTGTGGGAAAAGGTTGGACAAATACATGGGTGGGAATGGTAGGTTTTAAGAAGGACCTGCCTTGTATGGGCCAGTAGGCCTGCTGCAGTGTTCCTCTATTTTCATGTTCATCTTAAGAGAGTGGAAGACAAAAAAAATATTAAAAGATAAAAAGGTACTATACAACAAAAAGTGAAAACAAAGCTTAAAACTGAAGGCATTAATGAGATTGTGATTACTTTATTTATACAAAAAATAATATCCAAGATTAAAAATCTGGTGAATAATTTTTTTTGTGAAACTTTTCTGTATTTTCTGGCAGAAATTAAGAACTATCTGTATACCTTCTTGTTAAATACAAACCTGGACTAGAATCTTGTACAAGAAGTGAATGAGGTAGGGCTGAGGCCCCCAGATCTGCATCATCTGATAGTTGAGAGGTTAACAGAGCACCTTGAGATGGTAGGGGAGATGAGGCTTCATCACCACAACACCCATCTCCTGAGCTTCCCCATTCTTTCAAACGTTCACTAGTTTCAGAATGTTGTTCCTGTTGAAAGAAATATTAGATTTTCATTAAACATATCTAATGCCTCTGAACTTAAGAAAATATTCTGAAATGATGGGTTCCCCATTTGAATTCATATAGCTTATGTATGCACAGTAGTAAATTTTTATTTTCCATAAATTCTCTAACTAAATTGTTTTTCTTAGATGATAATGATGAGATATCAATGTATACAGTAATGGGTAGTGAAAATCAGTATACTGCTACCAGCATTAAAATACACTCAACAGTTGCTTTATAAGTGAAATAAGGATACTTCTCACTAACATCTTACATAAAAGATTGCAGCTCTCTTATTTCTTGATGTCCCCTCGCTATATGCACACTGTCTTGTGTTTGTGCTGTTATTCTCTTCAGAGGAGGTTAAATTAGAAGATGTTATTTCTGAAATATGCTGTCTGCACCAGCTATAAGTTTTCCTAAATCTTGTCCTTAAATCCTGGGATAACCCTCGAACTAACTTTGGAGGTGAAAACACATTCTTGGTTGTGCCATTAAGGCATTTTTCTTTATTGCCTTCCATAATTAATTTAACTTTTATTATTATTTTCTTGAACTTAATTTCATAAATAAAAACCAAAAGTATAAACAGTAGTCTGTAAAAAAAAAAAAAAAAACTGAATCAAGGTCATATAGGTTTCTTGAAAAACAGGCAAATACAATATGACAATTTCTCAGAAAAACTAACAGATACGATGGTTTCTCATGTAAAGCACAGTATTTCAAGAAATACACTGCAGTGCTGGATAAAATTGGTTTAGGTGTCAATTTCTAAAAAATAATCTGGTGCAGTCCTCAAAAGAGCAGATTTCTAAGGACTTAAGTTTTTCCAGGTGTCACTGTTTACAGTAATTTACAACAAGTGGAAACCACTGTATTAACTTAATACAATACTTTGAAGCATAAAGGAGGTCAGTCTTCTATTGAATGCCCATCATAACAAGTACAGAAAGCGTTACTTGTGACGACCTCCATCACGACGCATTTCCCACTCATTAGCCTCCTTGCATTCTATCTGGACATCACCTAGTAATACAAGTCAAAGAGCAGCAGCAGCAGCAGCTGCAGCTTGAGAGAAAACTGGCAGAGTGATATGATGGTGACTTCCACAGCTCTTTATCTATGGCATCTGCACCACACAAGCTTGTGCACACACAACACTTAACTCTTGATACACATAAAGATAAGGGAGACAAGGTATCATAGAGGTATTTATTTCAGTGCTTAACTATCCAGCTTATTTTTTTTTTTTAATTAACAGACATTACACCAAAGTTTACCTTGCTTAACCCCTTCAGGGTCCAAGGCCCAAATCTGAAGTGGTGCCCCAGTGTCCAAGAATTTTCCCCCCCAAAATTTATTTTTTCTTATGAAATGGTAGAGAATCTTTTTGTGAAGGTAATAAAACAAAAAGTATGAAATTTGCTGGAAAATTGACGAAATTATGCTCTCGCGAATTTTGATGTGTCAGCGATATTTATGAATCGGCGATTTTGCCGACTTTGACTCCCATTTTAGGCCAATTACATTATTCCAGTCAACCAAATTCTTAGCTATTTCACTAGTATTACTTCTAGTCTATCGATTGAGCACAAGAAATCGCCAAGTCAACTGTTTCAACTACAAATTAAAGTGATCGGAAATTGTTAATTTGGCCAATTTAACACAAAGTTCAAAATATTCCAATTTCAAAATAGGGTCCAGAATAAACAATGTAGGTATTCCGAGAACTAAACTAACATTTCCTCTGTTCATTAGTTACATTTTGAGGCTTTACAAATAAATTCCATTTTGATTTTTTATTTTACATAATGAATTTTTATTCACACCAAAAAATAGAAGATTTACTGTTATGCAATACTGTAATAATTGTACAAATATCATCACCATATTTGTGAATGCATATTAGACCCACCAGCTGGCGTGTATTAGACGTGTGAGGTCGTTTGTTTACTCTTGAATATCGGCAAAAATTTAACATTTCTGCTACTTTGAGCTCAGTTTCAAGCTATTTCCAGTGCTAAAACCAATCAAAATCATCTCTATTTCTGTAATATGTCTTCCATTCTATCAAATGAGACCAAGAAATCGCAAATACAACTACAAAAAACATACAAAAAAACACTGCAAATTCGCTGTTTTAATAGAAAAATCATGATTTCAGTTTTTTTCTCTCATTATACACAACGTGCTGCAGGATCTGTTTTATGTGGTGCACACATACCACATAGATGTATTCTCTCATATCTAGGCCCAAATGTACCACTCAGTTTATCAGAGTGAGCTGAGCTCATGACGTAGATCTACGGTTTGGACCCTGAACGTAAAGCCATAGATCTACAGGATGGACCTTCAAAGGGTTAATACTGTAACATCATAGAAAACAACATTCTTGAAAAACAAAGAATTACAGGTGCTCAGTTTTACTCCAATAGTTCTGACTACTTTTTATAGAATGTACACTACTGCCTCTAGGAAAAACTAACTGTTCAGGGGTGAGCAAGGAGAGCAAGATTTGTGAGGAAGAGAAAGGAGATGGGAAGTAAGACGGGCAGAAAGCAGCAACTTCACTCTGGCTGTACCCTTCTCCAGAACTTCACTCCATCTGAGATCCTATATATCCAGGATGACTCGAGTATGGAACACATTCGTACAGCATAATGATGTCAACGAGATAAAGTCAGTTGATCAAATGAAAATGCTGGCCCACAGATGGCTCCAACTTCATCCTGTTCCCTACTTGTATGTCTCATAACAATAAAAATGCTTTCAAATGAGCTGATGTAGGTAACAGCTCTTAGCTTGCCAATAAAGTTAGGAATCCTTAACCTGTAAATAGCTTGTCAATAAAGCTAGGGATTCTTAACCTTGTCAAACCCTGTGTATAAAAAAAAAAAAAAAAAAAAAAAAAAAAAAAAAGGGAAAGGATACAGGAAGAAAGAGAGGAACAAAGGGCCTCTGTTTCACACTTGTATGGCAGGATGGTAGTACCTCCCTGGATGGTTAATGTCTAACCTACAATTCATTAGTTGGAGACACTGAAAGACAGGAGGAATGATGGAGAGGGGAGATGGATGGAGCGGGTGAGCCCGAAATGGGCAATTACAAAATGAGGTGAACTTACCTCAAATATACCTTTGCTGCCACAGTTGAATTAACAATTTTTGTACATTTTCATCATTTTACTTGCCTAATTTCTTAATTATTCCTCATACAGTTTTTATGGTACATATTTTAAATTCTGTTTTTTCTTGATTCAGTATTATATTACTCCTTTTAATTTCTTCATTTTCTTTTTCCAAACTATTTAAGTTATGGCTGGCTCAAGTGTGTGCAACAGCTAAACTTCATAAAATAACTAAAAATAATATAGAGATGGGGCAATACCATATTTTTTACTGATACTGATACTCGGTTTTTAAGCCAATACCAATACCACCAAAATTAGTCGATACCTAATTATGCCATCTAAATCAGCCGATATCTAATAATACCATCAAAACTGGTTGATACCTACCAATGCTGAATTTAAGGCTAATACCAATACTATCAAAATTGACCAATATCCACTGTTACCAATACTCTGGCACTCCCCTAAACAAATCCAGCATCAAGAAAATGTTAGCATTACATATACAATATTAATGAAATGCATAAGTAGAGCAGTTATAATGCATGCTTCTGAGATGTACTGTTTCTACATGATTGATGACTGCAAAGAAATTAAGCTAAAAAGCATTAAGTCACCACAGTTGATTGAAACACTATTTGAGATAAATTACATGAAATCCTAACCACACACACACACACTATATATATATATTTGGGATATTGGCAGTTTGGAGGGATATGTTGTGTATCTTTATACGTATATGCTTCTAAACTGTTGTACTCTGAGCACCTCTGCAAAAACAGTGATTATGTGTGAGTGTGGTGAAAGTGTTGAATGATGATGAAAGCATTTTCTTTTTGGGGATTTTCTTTCTTTTTTGGGTCACCCTGCCTCGGTGGGAGACGGCCAACTTGTTGAAAAAAAAAAAAAAAAAAAAATATGCAAGATTACAGGTACGTCTTGCTACTTCTACTTACACTTAGGTCACACTACACATACATGTACACGTTTATTTTTACACACTCATCTGAGTTTTCTTTGATTTTATCTTAATAGTTCTTGGTCTTATTACTTTTCCTTTTATATCCATGGGGAAGTGGAATAAGAATCTTTCCTCCATAAGCCATGTGTGTTGTAAAAGTCAACTAAAATGCCGGGAACAATGGGCTAGTAACCCCTTTTCCTGTAAAGATTACTAAAAAGAATAAGAAGAAGAAAATTGTCAAAGTGGGAAGTCTGAATGTGCGTGAATGTTGTGCAAATGATAAGAAAGAGATGATTGTGGATGTTATGAATGAGAAGAAACTGGATGTCCTGGCTTTAAGTGAAACAAAGCTGAAGGGGGTGGGAGAGTTTCAATGGAGAGGAATAAATGGGATTAGGTCAGGGGTTTCAAATAGAGTTAGAGCTAAAGAAAGAGTAGCAATAATGTTGAAGGATAAGCTATGGCAGGAAAAGAGGGACTACAAATGCATAAATTCAAGGATTATGTGGAGTAAAATAAAGATTGGATGTGAAAAGTGGGTTATAGTAAGCGTGTATGCACCTGGAGAAGAAAGAAGTGTAGAGGAGAGAGAGTGATTCTGGGAAATGTTGAGTGAATGCATGGGGAGTTTTGAATCAAGTGTGAGAGTAATGGTGGTTGGGGATTTCAATGCTAAAGTGGGTAAAAATGTTATGGAGGGAGTAGTAGGTAAATTTGGGGTGCCAGGGGTAAATGTAAATGGGGAGCCTTTAATTGAGCTATGTGTAGAAAGAAATTTGGTAATAAGTAATACATATTTTATGAAAAGAGGATAAATAAATATACAAGGTATGATGTAGCACGTAATGAAAGTAGTTTGTTAGATTATGTATTGGTGGATAAAAGGTTGATGGGTAGGCTCCAGGATGTACATGTTTATAGAGGGGCAACTGATATGTCAGATCATTATTTAGTTGTAGCTACAGTTAGAGTAAGAGGTAGATGGGAAAAGAGGAAAGGTGGCAACAACAAGTAAGAGGGAGGTGAAAGTGTATAAACTAAGGGAGGAGGAAGTTCGGGCGAGATATAAGCGACTATTGGCAGAAAGGTGGGCTAGTGCAAAGATGAGTAGTGGGGGGGTTGAAGAGGGTTGGAATAGTTTTTAAAAATGCAGTATTAGAATGTGGGGCAGAAGTTTGTGGTTATAGGAGGGTGGGGCAGGAGGAAAGAGGAGTGATTGGTGGAATGATGAAGTAAAGGGTGTGATAAAAGAGAAAAAGGTAGCTTATGAGAGGTTTTTTACAAAGCAGAAGTGTTATAAGAAGAGCAGAGTATTTGGAGAGTAAAAGAAAGGTGAAGAGAGTGGTGAGAGAGTGCAAAAGGAGAGCAGATGAAAGAGTGGGAGAGGCACTGTCAAGAAATTTTAATGAAAATAAGAAAAAATTTTGGAGTGAGTTAAACAAGTTAAGAAAGCCTAGGGAAAGTATGGATTTGTCCCTTTAAAAAACAGAGTAGGGAGTTAGTAGATGGGGAGAGGGAGGTATTAGGTAGATGGCGAGAATATTTTGAGGAACTTTTAAATGTTGAGGAAGAAAGGGAGGCGGTAATTTCATGCACTGGCCAGGGAGGTATACCATCTTTTAGGAGTGAAGAAGAGCAGAATGTAAGTGTGGTGGAGGTACGTGAGGCATTACGTAGAATGAAAGGGGGTAAAGCAGCTGGAACTGATGGGATCATGACAGAAATGTTAAAAGCAGGGGGGGGATTAGTGTTGGAGTGGTTGGTACTTTTGTTTAATAATGTATGAAAGAGGGGAAGGCACTAGGGATTGGCGGAGGAGCATGTATTAGTCCCTTTATAAAGGGAAAGGGGACAAAAGAGATTGTAAAAATTATAGAGGAATAAGTTTACTGAGTATCCCAGGAAAAGTATACGGTAGAGTTATAATTGAAAGAATTAGAGGTAAGACAGAATGTAGAATTGCGGTGAGCAAGGAGGCTTCAGAGTGGGTAGGGGATGTGTAGATCAAGTGTTTACATTGAAGCATATATGTGAACAGTATTTAGATAAAGGTAGGGAAGTTTTTATTGCATTTATGGATTTAGAAAAGGCATATGATAGAGTGGATAGAGGAGCAATGTGGCAGATTTTTGCAAGTTTTGGAATAGGTGGTAAGTTACTAAATGCTGTAAAGAGCTTTTATGAGGATAGTGAGGCTCAGGTTAGGGTGTGTAGAAGAGAGGGAGAATATTTCCCCGGTTTTAAAAGTAGGTCTTAGACAGGGATGTGTAATGTCACCATGGTTGTTTAATATATTTATAGATGGGGTTGTAAAGGAAGTAAATGCTAGGGTGTTCGGGAGAGGGGTGGGATTAAATTATGGGGAATCAAATCAAAATGGGAATTGACACAGTTACTTTTGCTGATGATACTGTGCTTATGGGAGATTCTAAAGAAAAATTGCAAAGGTTAGTGGATGAGTTTGAGAATGTGTGTAAAGGTAGAAAATTGAAAGTGAACATAGAAAAGAGTAAGGTGATGAGGGTATCAAATGATTTAGATAAAGAAAAAATGGATATCAAATTGGGGAGGAGGAGTATGGAAGAAGTGAATGTTTTCAGATACTTGGGAGTTGAGTGTCGGCGGATGGATTTATGAAGGATGAGGTTTAATCATAGAATTGACGAGGGAAAAAAGGTGAGTGGTGCGTTGAGGTATATGTGGAGTCAAAAAACGTTATCTATGGAGGCAAAGAAGGGAATGTATGAAAGTATAGTAGTACCAACACTCTTATATGGATGTGAAGCTTGGGTGGTAAATGCAGCAGCAAGGAGATGCTTGGAGGCAGTGGAGATGTCCTGTCTAAGGGCAATGTGTGGTGTAAATATTATGCAGAAAATTCGGAGTGTGGAAATTAGGAGAAGGTGTGGAGTTAATAAAAGCATTAGTCAGAGGGCAGAAGAGGGGTTGTTGAGGTGGTTTGGTCATTTAGAGAGAATGGATCAAAGTAGAATGACATGGAAAGCATATAAATCTATAGGGGAAGGAAAGAGGGGTAGGGGTCGTCCTCGAAAGGGTTGGAAAGAGGGGGAAAAGGAGGTTTTGTGGGAGAGGGGCTTGGACTTCCAGCAAGCGTGCATGAGCGTGTTAGATAGGAGTGAATGGAGACGAATGATACTTGGGACCTGACGATCTGTTGGAGTGTGAGCAGGGTAATATTTAGTGAAGGGATTCAGGGAAACCGGTTATTTTCATATAGTCGGACTTGAGTCCTGGAAATGGGAAGTACAATGCCTGCACTTTAAAGGAGTGGTTTGGGATATTGGCAGTTTGGAGGGATATGTTGTGTATCTTTATACGTATATGCTTCTAAACTGTTGTATTCTGAGCACCTCTGCAAAAGCAGTGATAATGTGTGAGTGTGGTGAAAGTGTTGAATGATGATGAAAGTATTTTCTTTTTGGGGATTTTCTTTCTTTTTTGGGTCACCCTGCCTCGGTGGGAGACGACCGACTTGTTGAAAAAAAAAAAAATATATATATATATATATATTATATATATATATATATATATATATATTATATATTATATATATAATTTACTTTGTGTGTGTGTGTCATGCCGAATGTGTAAAACTGGTCAATTAGCAAGAACTCATTTAAAATTAAGTCCTTTCTAAAATTTTCTCTTATACGTTTAAAGATATATATTTTTTTCATTAATATTGATGTAAAAATTTATAATTTTGCACCAAAAGGAACTTATAAAACTTACCTAACCTTATTATAACAAGTGCAATTTATTTTAGCCTAACCCAACTAAATATATTTTAGATTTGTTTACAATAATTTAATACTAAACAAACACAGTGAAATATATTTTTTTGTTAGATTCAGAATGATTTTGGAATAATTATTGCATACACAAATTTTCACTTGTCCTATATGGCAAGATGAGCGTTGCTATTTAAGCCAAGATCGCAAGTTCTGCCTGTTCGGCAACACACACACACACACACACACACACACACACACACACACAAAAAAAAAAAAAAAAAAAAAAAAAAAAAAAAAAATATGCAAACTGACATTTACAATGATAGTAATGCTAAAATCTAATTTAAGTAAAAGTGTTCCCTGCACTACTGGTAACTGTTCCAAGAGCAGTCAAATTTATATAAATTTCATATAAGACTGGCACAATACTGGTAATTATAGTGAAACCTCAGTACAGTATAATGAACCCCTGTTAACTGATTTCGGATATCACGGAAATTCTTTTTTGTAGGACATAGGCTCAGTGAGTCTGCTGTATGGAAGTGTCCTGTAGAAACAGTTACAGAGGAGCAAGTCTGTTGCATCACACATTTGTCTTTGGGAGGTGTCTGTTAGTACCATCAATACAATGGACAGTATACTTCAACACAGGTTTGTTTGTATGCACTGCATCCAAGACCTACTTGTTTTCACTGATTCTTGGCACGGGTGCCACTGGCCCAGTCCATGTTAGTTTCTTATTGTCTCGGTGTGCACCCACATACTATTGTCATTTAGCCTTGAATTTCCCTGGATTTAGTGATTTTGTTACTTTAATATAATAAGTACTGTACTGTATCAAACACTTTAATGCAATGGATTTTCTTTGAGGCAGACACCCTTTACCTTTTCCACCTCATTACCCTCTTATACTGAGGTTTCACCATTGTTCATGTGTTGCATTAGTTCTTAATTCTCTTAAAATTTTTTACTGTAAATAATAAGAAAAATCCATTAATAATTTCAGTACTACTACTACTACTACATATTATATTAAAAGTATTTCTATTATTACTGCTCTGATACTAACAAACTAAACCATTAACAAATTGTAACATAGTACACGATACAGTACAGGAGGGCCCCACTTTACGGCATTTCGCTAATGCAGCAGTTTTCCATTATACCAATTTTTCATTTATTCAGACTTCCTACAATAAATTCACCACTCACTTTAAGCTAAGTCTGAAAATATTTTAAGGTAAGTAATATGGGTACTGTATATGCATTTTTTAAGCCTAGCTCTATTGCTCACTTGATATATGATAGTATAAATGTGTTACCAGGCTTTTATATGCATCTGAAAAATAAAAAAAAAGGCTATGTTTTACTTTACAGCAGTAGCTCGGAATCTAACCTGCCGTATAAACAAGGCCCGTCTGTATACTGCGATCAATCTGATCTAATAGGTTCATCCATGCAAGAAAAATGTTCTAATTTCATCATACACAATTCAAGATTCACTGATTAAATAATAGTTATTGTAATTAGTAGATTAGAATGTAAATATTAAAAAACCTATTACAGCAAATCATGCATAAGGTATAATAAAGTGTAGAAAATTAGATAATGCATAATTACCAATGTAAGTACTAAGGATGATCACCTTAGGTGGTGATAAAACACACAAAGAACAGTTTTCCATCAAACGTGCATCAGCCTGCAGATGTCTGGGAGATGAAAATTATAATCTCGTGTGAAAATGTTGCAACATCAAGAAAAGGCTTAATGTGAGAGAAAAGAGCATGCATTGTGCTACTAATGGAGCATGCAAGGTGATGACCCCGAGTGCTCACCATCTTCTCCTTGACAATGTTTTCTATCTCCGTGGCCAGGTCTGTCGTGGTCCCCTCTGCTGTCTTCAGGGCTACACTTGACGACTGTAGAGGAATGGGATCTGTCAACCACCGTAAACCAATGCACCAGCTGTTGGCCAGGATTATCCAATACACTAACAAACAGCAACCTTCACCATACTGGCTATTACCCAAAATCAAGAAATCATTACCCATTGCAAAAGAACCTTTAACCCAAGACCTTTCTTCAGTTATTACACTCCCTAGGTAATCCTTAAATTAACACACCCAGAATATTAGAAGTAAACATCTACCAAAACACTGGCAGAAAATTCACTGCAATCACCAAAATTTATTACCTCTTTAATTAATCAACATTTACTATGTAAATGTTTTTATAGTAAGCCTCAATTACAGTTCCTGTAAATGCTGCTTGCCACACTGGCTAGAGCTTTGGAAACCAAAGTGGCTGAAGTGAGTGAAGACTAGAGATTTACTTATATACATGTGCTGTGCTTGGTGCTCAATGTATTCTTTTCTTTATCTCCGAAAGTTAAGTGTCTACTCCTGAATCTGAAGCCCACTGGTGGGCAAAAAAAAATTTTTTTTTTCCTTTTGTGAGAGGTGAACAAAGGGCAAATGGAAGGTTGGACACTGGCCCCTCTGAATCAATCAGCTGGTCTTACTGGGATAGTGTTGAGCAGTCACTGAAGAGTAAAAAGTCTTGGTCCTGTGGCTGTCCCAAGGCCCTTTGAAGGTTATTTGTGTATATCTCTACACTACCCTTTGTATCATTAAGAAGTTGAATGCCTGCCTCTGTTGGCCTTTGAGGATTTGGGAGGAGATGGTGAGATGCTATTTTTTTTTTTTTTTTTTTTTTTTTTTTTTTTTTTTTTTTTTTTTTTTTTAGGAATATTTATAGCTTTTCAAAGACCAAAGATTGGCAATAAGGAATGTGAGTTGCCTCATTCTGGAAGATTCCCAATGACTAATCATAATCTTCCTGCTGTTCCTTGCTCGAAGATCCTACCACCCCTAGCCAGTCCAGTAGGTTTTAACACTTCTACAAACTACTTGTGTGTTGCCTAACATTCACCCAGGAAATTCCTTTCATTTGGCCACACTGCTATTAGTCTCCATGTGAAGAAAAATGCATTTTTTGTGTTACAGGTGAGTACAGCCAGACACTAATGCCATAGTATTATCATTCATAAACTAACCCAAATTCACACTGCACATGAACAGGATGCATTTTAAGTTGATGCCTTTCTTTAACTTAAGGTATTGACTAGTATATTCATAACTGTCAGTCATGTCTAATTAACTCTGCATTGAAAGAGTCATTCTTCCTGGGATGCTCTTCCTCAGAGTTTATAGGAGTGCACAGGAGATACCCACAGCTGCCTCAAGATTCAGGTCCTTCTTACCTCTGATGGAGACATTTGTCCACTTTTTCATGGTCACCATCACTAAGTGAACATCATAAGCAAGTTTACTTTTGTTGCTCCATCCCATCAACAGTATATCAAGCAAGTTAATGGTTACTGAGCTGCAACCTAATGTTGTATTGGAACTGGCCATCTGCCTAAATAATGCTAATTGGCTGCTGAATGATCCGTCTCATTACCTTAATTATGTAGGTGGTCATGCTTCATATTCCCAGCAATGTTCTCTCATAAGTATATAAATTTTTCTATGAGAGGAGGGCAATGTTATTTTTGGTCAGGCACTAGTTCATCTCAGACAGGAATGCTATCTATTCCTTATTCTCAAGCAAACCATTCTCCTTGCTCTCCCATAGTAATCTGATTCCTTACCTTTAGTGTACAACAGCTTTCAGGCATTTTCTTTAGACAAACCTACATCATTACCATCTCTCTCTTCACGCACGCCACCACTCCAGAGCATTTTCTGTCCCACTAGTGTGGAGGTGAAGGTTTATGTGTCATTGTCTACCATCAAAACCTACCATAATGTTGTGTGCAGCCTGCCTTGGCTTTCAAATATGTCATGTGTTAAAGAATTTCTAAACCTCGGTATGGATCTTTGTGCCCCTCTTCTGGTGTTGCCACAGTCTACTGTCTCTTCTGGTATTTCTGCCTGTCATCTTTAGCCATTCCATTACAAATATGGTCCATATAATCTCTGAGAAGACATCAATGACATTAATTTCCTATAGTCTGTCTGCCCTTCTTCCCTTACATTAATAGTAGTCCCACTTCTCTGTTAAGGACTAGTGCTCACACTTGATCATTTCCCGTCACACACACATATACTACCGTGATCTCTGGCTCTGTGATTTTTGGTATTCATTGTTTATCATTAATTTGGTTTGTGTTGAAACCCTTGTACATAAGTTAATATTATACATACATATTTAGTGAAAATTAGCAGAAGATTCAGAGTGTGGAAATTAGGAGAAGGTGTGGAGTTAATAAAAGCATTAGTCAGAGGGCTGAAGAGGGGTCTGGTCATTTAGAGAGAATGGATCAATGTAGAATGACATGGAGAGCGTATAAATTTGTAGGGGAAGAAAGGCGGGGTAGGGGTCGTCCTTGAAAAGGTTGGAGGGAGGGGGTAAAGGAAGTTTTGTGGGTGAGGGGCTTGGACTTCCAGCAAAGCATGCGTGAGCATGTTAGATAGGAGTGAATGGAGATGAATGGTTTTTGGGATGTGGTGAGCTGTTGGAGTGTGAGCAGGATAATATTTAGTGAAGGGATTCAGGGAAGCCCGTTATTTTTATATAGCCGGACTTGAGTACTGGAAATGGGAAGTACAATGCCTGCACTTTAAAGGAGGGGATTGGGATATTGGCAGTTTGGAGGGATACATTATATATCTTTATATATGTTTCTACACTGTTGTATCTGGGCACCTCTGCAAAAACAGTAATTATATATGAGTGAGGTGAAAGTGTTGAATGATGAAAGTATTTTCTTTTTGGAGATTTTCTTTCTTTTTGGGTCACCCTGCCTCAGTGGGAGACAGCTGACTTGTTAAAAAAAAAATTAGTTAAGAAACAATATATAGTGTACATAAATTACACATTATTATGTATTTTTCAGTGACATTTGTGACCCTTGCTCACAGCACCACCCATTGCAAAACTGTAACAAAAGTACTGTACTGTGCTTCATGAAATAGTAAAGTAGGACTTGTGCTTGTTATGAGTACTGTATTGCATTTTCTTGCCTGCTGAGTTTGTGCCATTGCTATGCAAATAGTAATGCCTCCAGTAAGATTTGTAAGGTTGATGACATTCTGACTACTCATATTCCACCTAATTTATCACTTCTATAGAGCTGGTGTGTGGCATGTGCTATTGGGATTGTTTATAGGGAGAGGCTAAAGCTGAGGAACTTTGTCAACTCATATGCAACCAATAATTATTTTCTAACTGAACAACAATGGTAATAGGTCTCCTCCTTGTAAGGCTAAATATTTGGCAGGTACTCGTGATCCTTCACGTGACTGTATTTCTTTGGAAAATCCAGGTGGGATCGCACCAAGGGCAGGACAAGAATTACAACAAGTTTGACATTTGAATTTACAAAGATTAATTTAGAATTACTAAACAAGAAGAGGCCTTAACTATTAAAGAATATGATAGAGAGAAGAGACAATATTTTGTAATGAATGTGGTGACCGATTAAACTTACAAAAAACCTGTCATTAGCACTACGCTACTGAAACTGAGCCTGAGAAATTTTTTTGGAGTGTTGGAAAATGAGGCTGGAGCCACAGTGTGGCCTAAAGAACATTGGGCTTCACTAGCTCATGCAGAATAACAGGGCCAAGCACAAGAGTAACAAGGTTGTATGTCCAATTATAACAAATTATGATAGTCAAATTTACTATGTTAGGGGTCAGAAGTGTATACCTGCTAAGTAACTGTGAATTTAAATTAGGTAAATGTTGGCATAGACAAACTAGCATGGAGTTTTTTTCTGAGAATGATCAGTATTTCAAAAAATTTTAGTGACATAGTGTAGTTGGATAATTTTTTGAATCATATAATTCAAACAGTTCGCATAATTTTAAGGCATCACAAATTCAAGTCTTTGGTTGACATGTATGAAGTGATTTGGGAATTGGGCAAGGGAATGAACAAACATTTTTCTTATGACCCTACTGAAGTGGTGACATTATCAGAAAAATTTTTCTGGTATTTCTGATACTGTATTAGGAATAAGAAGCAGATGCTGGATTCCCACGAGGAAACAAATGAAACAAATCTATGGGTTTTGTGAATAGTCTTAATAGATTTCCCAGTGTCTCAGGATAGAGCATATGATACTTTTCTACACTGATAGTCAGGTTGCACTGAATGAGCTATGTTCCAGTTGACAGTCGCTACATTTAGAGATTTGAGGAATTCTGCTCACTGTTGCAGCAAGTTGTCCTATTGATATCAGAGGACACTTATCTTAACCATAACGAGTTTATTGGAGCAATATGGTGGTGTAATTTATCTACCACTGCATAAAATCTTTCAAATAAGTCATAACTTAACTTAATCAAATATGCTATAATTAAAAAAAAAAAAAAAAGAAAGTCAACACATAGTGATCGGTTACATTTGTATGTGTGTTGATTTAGAATACTTCAATTTTGTACAAGTACTATATGTTGTAATTCTGTAGAGCATTACTGTATTAGGTAAAGCTAAATGCTATATAGCATGCATGTATGTTGTATTAGTGGATTTGTGATTTAAAAAGGAACTAGTTAATGCATCATCAGCCACATGCTGACCCCAGAGACGTAAGGTTCAGAGATGTCTCTCAGCATACATGTATTATGCATACCTCTCTGCCATCTGTTTATCCCATATTAAACATATTACATGGTACAAGAGTTGAGGTTAGCTACTTAGTTTTCCCTTACTCACCTTTGCTCTCATATACAGTGGAACCTTGAATATCGGTCGCTGCGTGTATTGGCCGATTTGTATTTAGTCCAGTTTTTGGGTGGAAATTTTGTTCCGTATTTTGGCCAGTGCCTTGTAAATTGTCCATATTATACGCGTCAGCTCGCCGGGATGCCACGCATAGATAAGTCAGTCTCCCTGTGTCTCAGTGAATGAACATATACTCTGTGCATTCATCCAAACATTTCCTTAAAATCCATTGGTTTTTGTGCTTGTTTATTAAGTGCAACTGTGAAAAAAGCCACCATGGGCCCAAAGAAAGTTCAGAGTGCCAGCCCTTTGGTAAAGAAAGTGAGAAACACAATGGAATTTAAGAAAGAAGTTATTGAAAAATATGAGAGTGGTGTGCGGGTGCTGGAACTTGCCAGGATGTTTGGGAAATCCAAATCAACAGTCACTACAGAGATTAAGATTTGTGCAATGTGGAGTAGGGTGCAAGCTTTTGCTGAGAAATATCACCCTGACAAAGCTGAAATAAGCCATATCTGCAACATGTTCAGTGACAAAACCTTGGCTCGAGTAGAGTGAGTGTGAGAAGAATTTAGCTGGTAAGGAGGAAATGGTCAGCAGTGATAGTGGCAGCTGCTTTAAGTGGCAAGTGGTTCACAGTTCAGAAAGAAGGAAGATGAGAGTTAATAGAGAAGATGTGAAGGTAGGAAATCGATTCTCTGTTCTCCAAGACGAGTGTACTTCAGTGGTTAGTGAGATTGAAGGTACCACTGATTCCCCTGCTAATCAAGGTAAGAATATTTTAATAGTAGGCGATTCTCAGGTAAGATATATGGACCGTGCATTTTGTAACAGACACAGAAAGGTCAGAGAGAGAGAGAGAGGAGAGAGAGAGGAGAGAGAGAGAGTGACTTCCTGGAGTTGGTGTTGGTGACATAGTCAGCAGGTTGGATAATAATATGGCAGGTAATGGGAACAAGCCCATTATGTCTTAGTGCTGGGGGTAATGACACTGGGAAGGGCAGGAGAGAGGAGCTGCTGGATAAGTATAGGTCAGCCATAGAAGTAGTTAGGTCTAAGGGAGGGATCCCAGTCATATGTAGCATCTTGCCTAGAAAGGGAGTGGGCAATGAATGGATGTCTAGGGCAATTGGTATAAATTGCTGGCTAGACAGGTACTGCAAGGAACTTGCAATCCCATTCATTGATAACTGGGACCCATTCTTTGGCAAACGTGATATGTATGCAAGGGATGGGGTTCATCTCTCTAGGGATTGAGTGGTTGCATTAGCCAATTCAATTGAGAGGGTAATTGATGACTTGTCTAGGAATTTAAACTGATAGATTATAGAGGTATGGGTGTTTGTAGGAAACAATCAGGCTGCAGCATTAGGGTTAAAAACCAGCAGTTATTACCGGGATACCTCAGGGATATGTTTAAAAAACAATATTCAAAATCAAGTTGCTAGTAAAAGCAAATCAATTGATCAACAAACAAAGAAAGATAGTAGAGGGCAACGAGTGACTAGCTCCCTTAAGGTTTACTATACAAATAGTAGGAGTCTAAGAAATAAGATAGATGAGCTAAGATTACTTGCAAGTGCAGGTAATACAGATATTATTGGTATAAAAGAGACCTGGTTCAACCTGAAAGATAAGAGAAATGCCTTCTGAATGCAACATACAGGGTTATAAACTATTTCACACTGATAGGGTCAACAGGAAGTGTGGTGGAGTGGCGATGTATGTCAGAGAAAATTTAAATTGCTGTCTTAGATATGATATAAGATTAGAAACATCAAACACAGAATCTGTTAGGCTACAGTTTCTCGAAGGACGTGACAAATTAATTTTGGGTGTGATTTATAGGCCCTCAAACCTTGACAGGGAGTGCAGTAAGCTGTTATGGGACGAAATTCATAAGGCATCTACATGTGTAAATGTTGTGATAATGGGATATTTTAACTTTAGACAAATTGATTGGAACAATATGACAGGAAATCTTGAGTCAAGTGACTTTCTTGATACAGTTCAGGATTGCTTTTTTAGAATAGGTTGTGACAGAACCAACTAAGGAAACAATTGCTTGACTTGTTTTGCCCAAAAAAGAATCACTAATTAATAATCTTGAGGTTAATGATGAGCTTGGGGAAAGTAATCACAAATCACTTAGTTTCAATATATCATGGAATTACCCAGATAACTGCAATCAAATCTCTGTCCCAGATTTTCGCTTGGCTGACTTCATAGGACTGAAAAATTACCTGGGTGGGCTAAATTGGGATGTCCTGACTATGGGTCAGGTAGGTGATCTTGGTTGCCAATATGACGTTTTTCAGAGCATCGTTCTAGCTGCCCAGACAACTTTTGTTCCAAGTAGGGAAATTAGATCTAACAAAAATGATCCCAAATGGATGAACAATAGATTAAAACATCTCATTGGTCAAAAGAGAGGCATATATAGGCATATCAGAAGAGGGGATGGGCAGTTAAGAAATCAATATATTCAATTAGAGAGAGAAATAAAGAAAGGAATAAGAAAAGCAAAATGGGATTATGAGGCTAAGGTCGCATGGGATTCAAAGACTAACCCAAAAGGGTTCTTTCAGGTATACAGAAGTAAGATTAGGGACAAGATTGGCCCACTTAAGAGTAACTCTGGTCAGATCACTGACAGTGATAAGGATATGTGTGAAATTCTCAATTCCTACTTCCTCTCAATTTTCACCCAGGAAAATACTAGCGATATTCCTGAAATAATAGATTATGTAGAACAGGATAATAAACTATGTACGATTGTGGTAACTAGTGACATGGTCCTCAGACAAATAGAGAAACTAAAACCTAACAAATCCCCAGGCCCTGATGAACTGTTTGCAAGGGTGTTAAAGGACTGTAAAGAGGAACTTAGCATACCTTTGGCTAATCTTTTTAACTTATCACTACAAACTGGCATAGTGCCTGATAAGTGGAAAATGGCAAATGTAATACCTATTTACAAGGCAGGTGACAGGTCCTTGGCTTCAAACTATAGACCAATAAGCCTTACCTCCATAGTGGGAAAATTTATGGAATCAATAATTGCCGAAGCATTCGTGCCATTTGATAGGCACAGTTGATTAATGAATCTCAAACTTTTTTTAAAAGGGGGGTTCCTGTCTTACGAATTTACTAACTTTTTTCACTAAGGTGTTTGAGGAGGTAGATCATGGTAATGAATATGATATTGTGTATATGGACTTCATAAGGTTTTCGATAGAGTTCCACATCAGAGGTACTGGGGGGAAACTTAAGGCACACGGAATAGGAGGAGAAATTTTATCCTGGGTAGATTATTATAATCAAGGGGGAAGCGCTAAACCCGGAGGATTATACAGCGCCTGGGGGAGGATGTGGAAGGCATTCAGGTTAAATTTCGGGGAACTGGGCCAGACCCAAATTTCCCCTAAATAAAGGGCCCCCCTCACCAACATCAAAAAAACCTTTCCCTTTGGGGGGTTTCCTGGGTAGAGGCATGGGGGAAAATAGGCACAGAGAGTTTGCTTAAATGGGGAGAAATCAGAATGGGGGCATGTCACAGCGGTGTTCCTCAGGGGTCAGTTTTGGGGCCCCGTTGTTGTTCACAATTTACATAAGGACATAGACCGCTCCGCTGGGTCAGTAGGCCTGTTGCAGTTTTCCCTTTTCTTTCTTAGTTCAGGAAAATTTTAAAGAGGTCCAGAAACAAACTCTTGGACAGATTTTTGTGCAACAGGGGTCCGTGACTCCAAACGGGTCCTGTCCCATTAAAAGAAAAAAAGGGGAAAATAACCCCAGAGAGGGACTTGTTACTTTGAAGTCATTATGGGGGGATTCCCCTTGCAAACAACCCCAACTCCCTCTCTCCTCCTCGCCTTCTTCCATATGCCAACAAGAGTCTTCAATAATGGTATGCAATGTTTATTAAAAATTTTATCATTGTTTTGTGTAAAAATATAGTTGAACTTTTCAAAACATTTTTTTTTTAATTTTTTTGGGGGGTTTTGGAATGGATTAATTGTATTTACATTAATTCTTATGGGATATATTGCTTTGAATTTTGGCGCCATTTCGAATTTAGGCCAACTTCCTGGAACTGATTACGGCTGATATTCGGGGTTCCACTGTACAGGTATTTTTTTAATACATTAAACATCTGGATGAGTTGAAACAGGAATGTTAAATGATAATCCAATTTATTCTTATTCTAGATTTACATCTTGAATAAGATCACTAATTTTTTACCACTGAGTAACTACAATTTCTCTCAAACTTTTATTACAGTACAATGACAAGCAGCAACATTCCTAACCTATGTGTATTCTCAATGAAATGCAACTTACTGGAAACTCAGTTAAGTTAGCTTTAAATTCACAATGATTATTAATAAAGGAAGTCACACATAATACAGTACATGGCAAAAGGTACTAAACAATTTGTCATATTTTTTCCTTACTCTGTTGGGAGCATCAGGTAGAATATCATCAAGTGGTGGAAGTGTGGGTCCTGATGTCACTGTGGTGGGCCCAGGTGCACCCTGGGCAGCTGCTGCAGACATGGGTTGTTCCATGACCTTCATGGGGGGTGGTAACTCCAGCTCGCCCTCCTCACCATTTTCCACTGACAGTGATCGACTTGTTCCCGAAACACCGCCTGAAATATTCAGGCTACATTATTATTAACTATTCTTCCCCCAACTCTAGGCTTATTTACTGTTACCAAATTGGGGGTTACTGAAAGATTCACCACCACCTCCTTTCCCCAAAGGAAAACAGTTACAAGTAGTAACTAAAGTTATACACATTTTGCATACACCTATTTTTAATTTTGTGCCATAACTAACACACTAACTTGACCCAGCAAAAATTTATGTAAGATAATTTGGTAAATTATGTTATAGTATATTAACAATTTGCAAAACTTCTAGGTAACAAAGGAATAAAAAATAAGCAATTATGAATTGTACAGTGTATTGACAAACCTGACATACATGTAACTAATTTCAAGAATTCTAACTTAGCCTGGCCTGAGGTCAAACTTCATTGTTAGACTGTCATGGCTATGTAGGCCTGTGAACTGTAATCACCAACAGCCTAGTTGACCAGACAAAGAAATCTGGCCTCGTTCCAGACTGAAGGGTAGGAAAACTCTCAAAACTGGTTACAGGTATATCACAAACAGTTAAAAAAAAAAAAATATTAAAACATCCTCGGAAATAAGATACTAACAAGCATTTTATAGACAATTAGGTTTTTTCGGTTGCTGCACCATAGAAAGGCATCCCATAAACCCAGCCCCTTTTACCTTGATGCACACACAAAATAATAGTGTGGTGTTAGTTTCTAAAGCAGTTAAATATCAGAGTTGAAGATTTCAAGCTTTTTTAAAAAATCCATTCAAAAGTTGTTCTCTTCTTTCAACAAACCAGCCATATCCCACCAAGGCAGGGTGGGCCAAAGGAAAAAACGAAAGTTTCTCCTTTTAAATTTAGTTATACATGTACTGTATATACAGGAGAAGGGGTTACTAGCCCCTTGCTCCTGGCATTTTAGTCACCTCTTACGACATGCATGGCTCACAGAGGAAGAATTCTGTTCTTCTCCATGGAGATGAAATAAGCAAGAACAAGAACTAGTAAGAACATAAAGAAAACAGAGATGCATGTGTATATATATGCTTATCTATGCATGTGCAGTGTTACCTAAGTGTAAGTAGAAGTAGCAAGATGTGCTTGAAATCTTGCATGTTCATGAGACAGAAAAAAGACACCAGGTCTCCTACCATCATGTAAAAACAATTACGTACAGGCTTCCGTTTCACACTTGTTTGACAGGAAGGTAGTACTGTACCTCCCTGAGTGGTTGCTGTCTACCAACCTACTACCTAGGACATTCAAAAGTTGTATCATGTAAATATTACTATTTCTTCAATAAAATTAGCAAACTGACACCTACACAGCTCAAAAACAATCCAAACTTTTTATGCACTAACAAAAACAATCAGAAGATGCATACACTAGTTATCACATGGAAATCAATATCCCTATTTAATAAAATTGGCAAATTAGGACTACACATCCCAATAACAAACTACAGCAGCACTTTAACATTGAAGCTGCTTAGAAGTTGTTGGATTCTGATATTATTGCACAAAAAATACTCTAAAATTTAATAAAACTGGCAAATTACATCTTACACAGCTCAACAACATGAACTTTCCTTTGACCAAAACCCACCACTGCTGAAAGCTTAAAATTGATAGTTTTGTAGATTAGACTTGTTTGAACTGATCAAGGCATTTAGCAAGGAAACGTTTTGCCATGAGTGGCTTCTTTAGTCCTTATACAGAGTAGCTAAAACAAGCAGTACAAGAGGTTAGGTGAACATTGGTCATATTGTGGGTAACATAGCAGATATGGAAGTGGTAGCATTTGGCCAGGGCTAGGCCTGCAGTGCTCTCCCATATAACTATAGCTGGTGAAGTCATTGCTGAGTACAGGAGGGCCCCACTTATACAGGGTGGAGAAGAGAAAACGCATGTTTTTTGTGTGCATATACAATACACACAAATTACTTACCTTAAAAATATTTTTGTCCTTAGCTTATAGTGAGTGGTGAATATATTTATTGTAGGAAGTCTGAATAAATGAAAACTGGATGTAACTGAAAACCACTGTATTAGTGAAATACCATAAAGTGAAGCACTGTAAGTGGGGTCCTCCTGTATCAATCATTTGACCAAAGTCCTGGACACAATATACTATAGTAAATGAAATTTGACAGTTTCAGAAAAACCCTCCAATTATCAGATAAAATGGACAAAATTCCATAATTTTGCATTTTATCAGGTTGGTTTCTGATGCATCAGGCCAAATTCGCTAACTCCGACATTTGTCTGGTATGGCCCAAAACAGCCATGTCCAGGACCTATCTGTTTTCATTGAGCTGCCACAGACCACCTGCACTAGCTTACTGTCTGTGCTCTCACCATAAACTTGTCATTCGGCCTCTAATTTTCCTTGAATTTAGAGTCTTTTGTGTGACTTTATTAACATATTAAAGTGCAGTTAACAATGGCTTCTAAATGAAGTGGTAGACCCAAGAGAAAACGTGTAGTTTTCAGTGTTAAGGAGAAATTTGAATTTAAAAGGTTGAGTCTAACATCTAAGTGGCACAAGTGGGGAATTGGTAAAGAAAAAAGGGTCTCATATTGGTAGAAGCAAAGACGAATTGACAGCCTATCCTCTTAAGTTTAGTGTAAAATGCTACACATGTAAATGACCCATGATCACACCAGTTTACATCTCATTTCTCCACAAAAAGGTAAGCAAAATTACTATAAATTATATCATATAGTACAATACTGTAGTACTACAGATTACAACCTCTTCAAGGGGGGCTCCTTGGCGTGGTGAAGAGGCTCTTGGTCTCAGGAATTAGACCTGTCGGTCTTCTTCCTCAGACCGAACCAAATTACCCCCCAATCTCCCCTCCCCTATCCCATCCTCCCCTTTTTCCTTTCCCCCTCCTCACCCCTCCCTTTTGCCCTTCCTCTTTTTGGCCTTTGGGATTTCTCCCACAGGCACGCTAGTTCCTAGGTAGAGGAAAGGATACCGGGGTCCATCCCATTCCGTTGAGGTTCTTGGAGGTGGCGTAGTTTGCCGTGGAATCTGGATCGCCTGGGGATGTCCCGATCCCTCTCCGGTATCCCGGAGTAGCTTTGGGTGTCTTTCGGGCGACGGGTGTATCTCTGGAAGCCACCTTTCGGATTCCAGGGTGGTGGCCGAAGAGGTATGCTTTGTGGCGGATATCCGGCCGCCCTCTCTTTTGTCCACCGAGGTAGCTCGGCAGATGTGAGGTTGCTATCCCGGATTGCTGGTTTACTGGCATGAAGGGTAGGGTATGGCATGGGTTCCATGCTGCATCTGCGCTACTAGCGGTGCTGAGGTCCTCTTGGGCGCGGAGGGAGATTTCCGACCCTTTCATTCCTCCTGGGAACTATTCCTCCCCGCTCCCCCCTTTTTTTATTCTTTTTTTTTATTTTTATTTTCTTTTCTTTCTTTTTTTTTCTTAAAAACAAAAAGCAAAGGAGTAACCTAACCACGGAGAACCCAATCCATGAACCCACTACCCCCGGGCCCCTTCTTGATACCGCACCCCATTCTGACCCTGCCTTGTGTTTAGACCACTCTTCGGACACTCCTGATGCCCCTGTACCTCTTGCTGGTGCTGTTTCCTCACCCGCTTCAGGTACCGGGGCTTCGACTGACTCCTTCGATTTGTCTGAACTCCGCTCTCCTTTGACTATGCTTCCGGCTTCTCCCTCTACGGTACGGCAATTTTCGAATCGCCCACCCATTTCAAGCTGGACCAACTCCGGTCCTACTCCTAAACGCCAACGTCAATCTCCTGATGATGCTCCTTCGTTACCTTCCCATTCTACTCGGAAAAGACTGACACGTCAAGCACTCCCTCTCCACGCTCAGTTTCGGACCACACAATGGACTAAATTCTTTACTTTAAGACCGACTTCTTTTTCTGACTACCTTTCTGACCATAGTATTGGCAAAGTGCTCCTGCGTCATGTTGGTAGAGATATTTCATTTCATGCTCTCAAGAGCGGTACGCTCATCGTCACTGTCCAGAATGCTACCCAAGCTCATGATCTTTCTCTCCTTTCGAATATCGATACTACTCCTATCGCTATTGAAAAACATCTTTCTCTCAATTCTTGTAGTGGTACTGTCATTCTGCCCCATACCATAGTCCAACAGAATTTCCAGTCATGTGGCAATGACATTCTTGAACAGCTGGAACTCCAGGATCTCCCAATCCTCAAAGTAGACACTTATTCCTTCCTGCCCGTGGGCGGAGACGTTACCCTTGCAATGTGGCTCGTTTAACTTTTGACAGCCGAGAACTCCCGTCCTCTGTATATGTCGCAGGACATCGGTTACAAGTTTGAAAGGTGATACCTACACCGCAACAGTGTAGAAATTGCTGGTTTTTTGGTCACCCAGCGAAATATTGCAGATCTATGGCCGAATGCCCAGTCTGTGGTGCCGACGACCATTCTAATACATCTTGCAGTCAACCTCCATCTTGCCTTAATTGTAATGACGCTCACCCTTCGTACTCCCGCCGTTGCCAGGTCTACTTAAATGAACATGAAATCCGTTGCCTCACAGAGGCAGATCATCTCCCATATGCTATGGCAGTTACTCATCTCCGCCTCCAAGGGAGACTACCCTGTGTTTCTTATTCACGTGTTTCAAAACATCCCCCCCACTTCTGGGGTCCCATCTTCTGCAGCCTCCTCTGTTGTTACCCCTCCCATAGCCACTCCGGCATCTAATCCTTTTGCTGTCCTTGGCTCTGACGTCCCGACTACAACTCAGTCTGTTCTCACATCTTCGCGTCCTTCCTCACAAGCCCCAGTATCGACAAGACCTCGTACGACACCTAATACCAATCGCCCCTCTACTTCTCAGAAGTCCAAAAAATCCACATTGCTCAAATCTTCTTTGCCCCTTCCTTCCCTTCTTCCACCTCCATACTTTACCTTTCCAGTCTCTGTACCTAGTTCTTCCCCTCTCTCTGGCTCTATTACAAGTGTGGAGATTCACCCTCCTCCTCGTACTATGCCTTCCACCC